ATCACTGAGGGAAAGAGCACTGGGCCTGAAGTCAAGAAGATCTGAATTCAAGTTCTGCCCTTGATGCTAGCTGTGTGACCCTGGCAGTCACTTACCTGCTGTTTGCCTCAGTTTCCTCATCTTTAAAATGGGGATAGTATAGCACCTATCTCACAAGGTTGTTTGTGAGGATCAAATAATATATGCAATACACACACTTTATTTATTTTTTTGGAGGCAATCAGAGTTAAGTGATTTGCCCAGGGTCACACAGCTAGTAAGTGTCTCTGGTTAGATTTGAATTCAAATCCTCCAGACTTGAAGGCCAGTGCTTTCTCTATCCACTACACCACGTAGCTTCCCCAACACATGCACTTTAAAAAGCATGACAAAAATGAAGGTATATAGAAATAGGGTTTGAGCTCAGTTACTGTAAGCCTGGAGTCAACTTTCTTTCCCAGGGCTGACTGGAAAAGTTAACTGAGCTGACTGCCTACCAGGGTTTGAAGGGATCTTAGAACAGTCAGGGCTTAGTCAGGGCTGCAAGGCATCTTACGGATTGTCTGATCCATCTCCCTTGTTGTACATGTAGGAAACTAAGGCCCAGAGGAAGGAGTTGCCTTGCATTGGGTCCCCAAGTGAGTTGGGGGCAGTAGGAAGTGAGCTGGGATGCCAGGTGTCAGCCTGTAATTGGGGGCTGGGGTTCCTAGACGAGAGAGGGTGCTGGAAAGGATTGGATCGCTAAAGCTGCTCTGATGTCTTCAGGAGTCTCAGGCGTCATGGCTGGATGCCGTGGTGCCACATCTCGCTGAAGTTTTACAGCTGGAGGATACGCCCAGCATCCAGGTGGAGGTTGGGGTCTTGGTTCGTGACTACCCCGATATCAGGTGAGGGGAGCAGGGGGGAGAGGACCTAGGGCCCCAGAGGCTGACAAAATGAGTAATCATAGCAACAACCATAAACGTGAAGAGCCTTTAAAAAGGCCACTGGGCATGTTGGAGGTGGAGATGAGGATTCGAACCCAGGGCCCCTGCCTCCTGAGTCCATCCTCTTTCCACCTCACTCTACTTCCTGCCCAAGGTGCCCTGGGCCCAGGCCAGCCCTGGGCTGGCTGCCGTGGCCTTCTGGGGTTTTGGCTCTGCTTTTCCCCGTTTCCTGCCCCCGGGGGTGGAGTGAGCGTGTCTGACGGCCCGTTTCCTGCCCCGGCCCCTCCAGTTCACACCCGCCACTGCTGTGGGCACAGGGGAGACAAACAGGAGGCCACAGGAAGAGCCTGGAGGTGGAGGGTGGAGAGAAGAGGAGGGAGAGGAAGAGGAGGTGGGAAGGGCCCAGGGCAGCAGAGCCACTGGCAGCCCCAGGGGAGCACGATGAGAGCCCAGGGACCCATGGGTAAACCCTGAGGGAACCTAGAAACTAGGGGCCATCACCATTCACACACACATGCCAGGCTTGGCTTTCTAGAGATGTATTGGAGGGGCCTATTCTGGGTGGGTTTCAGAGCTGGGGCTTCTAGGTCTGGCTTCTGGGCTCTAGAGATAAGGATTCCAGAACTGACTTGGTTGAGGGGGAGGCTGATTCTGGAGCTGGCTATATGAGTAAAGCTCCCAGAGCTGTGTTGTGACCATGCCTAGGGTTCTGGATCTGGGTCTGAGGTTTCTATAGTTGACTTTTGGGGTGGTGAGGACTGCAGAATTTGATGGGCTTTAGACTGCAGCACTTGGGAAGAATATTGGTTCTAGATCTGTTTGGGGGTGGGGCTCTGGGATTGAACTAGGGTGAGAATTAAGCTGGGGGGATGTCAACCCTCCCCCAAACAGTTGGGGAAAGAATGATGGTTCTGGATATGGGTCTCTGGGTTCTAGAGCTGCCTTTGGGAGGATCCCAAGCCCCATGTCTGGATAGAATGATGATTCTGGACCTGGATCGGATGCTGAGGGTTCTGAGACCCCAATGATATCCTCTCATCTCTCCCTAGGAGGAAGCATGTGGCTGCCCTCTTAGATGTGAGGGGCCTCCGGAGTGCAGCTGCTCGCCATGAGATCCTGGCTGTGGCGCGGGACCTAGAGCAGAGTGGGGAAGGGGCTCCTGCCCCTCCCAGGGACCGAGCTTTTTTTGCTGACATTCCTGTCCCTCGGCCACCTTTCTGTCTGGGCCTCCCCCTCCCACTTGCCAGACTCCCCCTCGCCAGACTCACTAGGCCTGATCTTGCCTGCCTGCCCAGACCCCGCCCTCGACCCCCTGCCCGGCCTCGTGCCCAGCCCTGAGCGCACCTGGGACTCCTAAAACCTGCCCTGTGATGCTGCTGTCCCAGCCTGGAAGCCTGTGTCTTCTCCCTTTCCCCAACATCTGCTGCTGAGAAAGACTCTGCCCCCAAGGATGGATTCTGTCCCTGGGTTTAAAACCAGGTCATAGATTAAGGGGTGTCAGAGTTGGAAGAGTCCTCAGAATAGAATGTCATAGCTAGGAGAGCCCCAGGAACATGGAATATCAGAGCTGGAAGGGCCTTTAGAACATCGGCCATCAAAACTGGGGGAACTTTTAGAACACTGAATGTCAGAATTGGGAGGAACCTTAGAACAGAGAAGGTCAGTGCTGGGAGGCACCTTAAAACATAGAAAGTTAAGGTTGAAAAGAAAGTTAGAACCTAGATCAATAATCAATCAATAAACATTTGTTAAGCACCTACCATGTGCCAGGCACTACACTAAGTGCATAGACTATCATGGTGAGAAGATACATCAGATCATGGAGTTTTATTCCCTCATTTTATAGACAGGAGAGCTGAGGCTCAAGAGCGAGGAAAGGGATTTCTCCCTAGGTCACACAGGAAGCCAGTGGCAGAGCTGGGAGGCAGGACTGCTCTGGAGTTAGGGTAGGTCCCATAGAAGTCATGGAGGCTGTGCCTTGCTCTGCCCAGTCTCCATCTCTCTTCCCTCTAAACTTCTTCTTGGGGTGGCGCCTCATGTAATAAAGAATGTATGATGATAAAATAAATATGTTTCTATTTAACGAGCAACTGAGGCTGAGTCCTGTTTTGGGAGGTGGGGGTGGATGGCACGTGGGGAGGCCCCTGAGGCAAGGTCAGGGAACCAAGCCCTCTCTCCCACATTGAGCTGGGCCAGAAGTTAGAGGTGTGAACCCCAAGGTGGCTAAGGTCCCCTAGCAGGATCCCCCTGCAAAAGGGAGAAGGCGTGGCCGGCCTTCCCTTCCAAGGACTCCCAGTCTGAGCAGAAAACATGGCCCCATGCCTTACCACTAGCTGCTTTAGGTCACCCTCCATAGGACTCTCCTTCCTGAAGGAACCTCGTTTACATCCTATATCAGAAGAAGGGAGCTGTCTGGGGAAGAGGAAATGAAGGGGTTCCCCTCTTACTCCTTTCCCTCCCTCAAAGGTTTCAGATATCTAGGAACTTAGGGGATAAGATTGAGAGCTGAAAGGGAACTCAGAGGCCAGATGGTCGAATCCCCCCTTTTACAAATAAAGAAAACCATTCCCTAGCACGGTAGGGAGTTGTCCAAGGTCACCAAGTTAGTGAGTACTAGAAGCAGGATTTGAACTCGGTGCTCTTATAAAGGGGCATCTGGTCTCAGCTAAGCTCCTCAAACACCCTGCCACACCTGAGCGGCCACACTAGCTGCTCCCAAGAAGATTTCCAGGGCCAATACCTGCCAGCCTGGGAGTTTCAGGGGGTCCTACAGCCGGTGGAGGGAAGGCATGGCCTTCTCCAATCTCTTTTTCCCAGTCTCTAGCTTTGGGTAAGTGGGTAAGCTCCCTTGGCAGCAGAGTTAGGAGTGGGAAGTTGGGCCCTGCCCCTCCTCTGCCTTATTGTGAGACCCTGGGCTATGTCCCACTCCTTCCCTTGGCCTCGGTTTCCCCATCTGTCCAGAGGATCTTGGCCAAGGCGACCTTTGCAGTCCCTTCCTGTCCTGACACTCTGGGATTCGGTGACTCCCTGCTGGATCCCCAGAGGCCCTGGGACGGAGACAGGAATTTGATTTGTTTCCTTGTTTTTCTTCCTCAAGGGGTGGGGGAGGGGAGATAGCTAAAGGCAGCCAAGGGTGAGGGCCGAATTGTGCCCTCTGGGAGCCACCCCTCCCAGCTTCCAGCTAGAGGTGTTGGGGCGGGGAGAGCTGTGGTGGTGAGGGAAGTGCAGAGGGGAGGGGGCTAGGAGGGGATAATGGGGGAGGGGGTGGTGGTGTCAAGGGAAGTGCAGGGGGGGAGGGGGCTGGGGGTGGGGGAAGTGCTGGGGGGAGGGATACAGGGGGAGGGGGCTGTGACATGCATGGGGGGGTGTCGGGAGCAGAGGGCTCTGTGCTTGTTCTAAGGCAGAGAGCCTTGAGACCTTTCCTGTCTCTGCCCCTCCCCTAGTGGGTTTGCTGAGTGGCTTGGATCAAATGCATTCCCCTCTCTGAGCCTTGGCTTCTATGCCATTGAAAAAATGAGAGAGTGGCAGAGATGGAGGGCTTGAACCCAAGACACAAAATGTCAGACCTAAGGAAGACTATAAGGGGACTGGTCCCAGGGGCTGGCAAGGAATTTGGGAGATTCATCAAAATACTACCCCTCCCACCTAACTTTACAGAAGGGAAAACGAGACTAGGAACAGGAAGCCACTTGCCCAGGGTTACAGAGCAAATAGGGAAACGAGATGAAGACTGGAAGCAGAGTTCCTGGGGCCTGTAAATCATCGCAGTATATTGACTCCCCCCCACCCCAGCCTGGAATCTTGACAACCTCTAAGAGTGGGGAGCTAGGAGAGAGGAGGAGGAGGCCTCCTGCATCTCTCCCATCACCCCCTGCCCTTTCTGCTCCCAGGGATCCCTTCAGTATCTAAAGGGCTGCCCATAGGCAAGAGAAGTCAGGCTGCCTCTCCTGGGCCCCACTCAGCAGACCTGGGAGTGATGAGGGGTGAAGGTAGGGTTCAGACCCAGGACTCCCAGCGGACCCCTGGTCCTGGGTGGCACTGGGATGGGGTTAAGTGTGCTTGGCCATGCAGCAGTTCATAAGACAGATAGCTGGCTAAAGAGAAAACAATTTATTATAACAATTTATAGCTACGGCTTCTTGGGGCTAGGGTTTCTCCTCAAAGGGAACCTAGAAAGCAGGACAGAGGGATGAGCCAACTAGATGAAATCCGTCTGTTTGCCCCCTAGTCCCACCAGCAGCAGTCACCACCCCTCCCCCAACAAAGGGTCTCCAATTCAGCCCCCACCTCCTTCCCACAACTTCTTCAGGATCTTCTGAATGCTCTGAAGAGGGGGTTGAAGAATTGGGATAATGAATTTGGAGTTGGAGGTCAGGGGCCACAGCAACAAGCTCTGAGGAAAGGAGGGAGCAGAGTGGTCATGAAACAGCCTGGCCTCAGCCTGACTCCCAGGCCCAGGGCACTGGGGCCTGGGGAACTCCCCCCTCGGGGCCTCCTTTGACAATTCCAGGGGAAACAGAGTCCACCAGATGACTGCTGACTTAGGAACACTAGCCGGGGAGGGGAGTTGTATTTACTTTGGTAAGCATTTCCCAAATACATTTTAATCTGGTCTGGGCTACACTTTGGTGTTTTTCAGTACAGGAGTTTTGATATCTTTAGACTAGACAATCTCTAAGGCCCTCCCAGCTCTGACATTCCTTGTTCTAAGGGCCCCCCCAGCCCTGACATTCCCTATTCTAAGGGCCCTCCCAGCCCTGACATTCCCTGTTCTAAGGACTCTGACATGCCATATTCAAAGTCTCTCCCAGCTCTTGCAGTCTCAGTTCTAAGGTCCCTTGTAGTTCTGATATTCTCTATTCCCAGGTGTTCCTTCCAGCCTTGACATTCTAAGATTCCTTTATATGAGTGCTACATATTATACTGCCAGTCAGCCAGTAAGCATTTATTAAGAGCTTACTATGTGCCAGGTATTTTGCTAAGTGCTGGAAATACAAATACTAGCAGAAATAAAGACAGGCCCTGCCCTCAAGAAGCTTCTGTTCTAATGGAATGCTGAAAAGAAGCTGAAAAAGGGGAAGAGAAAAGGTAGGGGAAGTTCTATGCAGATGAGTCTTCAGTGCAGCCTGGAGAGGGTTGAACATAACTGTTGCCTGGGCCTTCCCCTTAAAATGGAAGTTCTGGAAAGAACCAATCAATCAGAAGGTGATGCCTTAGGGGTCAGAGAATGCTGAGGATGAGGCATCTGGTAAGGCAGCGGATAGTGTGCTGGGCTTGGAGTTAGAGAGACTTGAATTCAGATCTGGTCTCAAACGCTTACTCACTATGTAATGCTCGGCAAGTCACTTAACCTCAACCTGCCAGAGTTTCCCCAACTGTAAAATGGGGATAATAACAGCACCTACCTCCCAGGGTTGGCATGAGAATCAAATGAGATATTTGTAAAGTGCTTAGCACATAGTAGGTGTTATAGAAATGCTTCCTCCCCTTCCTCTCTCTTCTGATGTGAAAAGTAGCAGAGAAAGTACACTCATCTATTCATCTGTTGTCCAATTGTGTCCCACTCTTCATGACCCCATTGGGGGTTTACCATTTCCTTCTCCAGATCATTTTACAGATGAGGAAGCTGAGGCCAACAGGGTTGAGTGACTTGCCCAGAATCACACACCTAGTAAGAGTCTGAGGCTGGATTTGAGCTCAGGAAGAAGAGTCTTTCTGACTGTAGTCCCAGAGCTCTACCCAATGCAGCGCCACCTAGCTGCCCCATGTATTTATGCTACATGAATTGAGAGATGTCACCTTGTGTTCTAATCTTCATGTTGCTAACAAATAACTGTCTGGGAGGCGGCCTGTGGCATATACAGTAGCAATCTCACCATTGAACACTGTACAAATTATGTTCCTCCTGTTTGTAACAGTTTGGTGTTATCTGACAGCTGTCGAGTACAGTCTGTTCACTTCAAGGCTTTGCACATAGCAGGTCCTGGATAAATAGAATTCAGCCTCTGTGCTCCAGAACCCTGGCACTGGGGTGGTGAGTTCCCATTGTCCTGTCTAATATTAGGACAACTGGCACCTGGGAATGGGTTCCAATCTGTAAGTCTGGTGGGATTCATTTCCTTCAAGGCCTCAAGACTCAATACCAGACCCAGGGAGGAGGGGGGTTGCTCTGATGACTTTTCAGAACATCTGAGCCCTCCACAAGCAATGTGGCTGAGAAGCTAAGGGGCCAATGGGCTAGCATTGATACTGACAGGCTGTGGCACCCACTCAGTGCCCCAGGCAACTCAACAACTCTAGACTGCAGACAAGCTGCATTGGGAGAGGGAATGTCCTCACCAGGAGTTCCCTACCTCCCATGAAATCACAGGTCCAGGAGTTCATCCTCTCCAAAAGGAGGACTCAGAGCTGTGAGGGACCACGGAGATCACCTGATCAAAGCTACTCTCCATTCACAAGTGAAAAAAAAATTGAATTCTGGAGATTTAGGACTTAGAATCAGAGATTTAGAGCTGGAAGGGAGGCCCTTGAGCCATCCCCCTCATTTTACAGATGAAGAAACTGAGTCTCAGAGATATGCAGTGACTTGCTCAAGACCTCACAGCCAGGACTGGAATTTCCTAATCCAATGTTCTTTCCCATGTACCAGATATACCCTGGGCAAGGTGACTGATGAGGGCCCAGTAAATGGCAAGGCTGGGTTTTGAGCCCAGGTCTTTTGAATCCAAATCCAATGTAATTTCCATGACAGGATACCTGGGGCAGACATCTGACTTCATTCATGCTTCCCTTTCTTCCCTGAAGCCCATGGTTTTTGCTCAAAAAAAAAAAAAATTATCCCCTCCCCACACACACCAAAGATCCAACTTCTACCTAGGTGTTTGCTGATAGGTGACAATGGCCAGAGCACTGGACCTGGAGTCTGGAATACCTGAGTTCAAATCTAGCCTGAGAAACTTACCACTCTGTGAACCCAGACAAGTCACTGAACATCTCTCTGCCTCAGTTACCTCAACTGGAAAATGAGGACAAGAATAGCACCTATCTTCCTAGGGTTGTTGTGAAGATCAGATGAGATCTTTGTAAAGGGTTTAGCAACACTTCCTGGCATGTAAGAGGTGTACCCTTCCTTCCTTCCTTAGCCAACCACTCAGGCCAGGAGTTGGTCTGGTCACCTTCCCTATTAGTTCAACCCAATGGGCACCCCAGTCACTCACGTGGACAGAGTGTAGGAAACACCCAGAAGTGAAGTTAGAGACACCTATGCTGTCCAAGGCCTCTCTGACAAAGTCATCTGAAGACTTCACCAAGAATTTTCTGGGTGACGTCTGGCTCATGTTGGTGGAAACTAACAGAGGAGTAAGAGTCTGGAGAAAGAAGTTGATGACTGGATGGAAGGGTCATAGCTCTCATTCTACCCACCTCCCAAAGGCTTCCTCCCCCTCAGCTGGTCACCCATCTTTGTCCCCACCCTCCTGTTACCTCACCAAACCTGCTCCCTCTCACCAATCCCACTTCCCTTGGCCCCCTTGCCCTCTTCCCAAGCTCTTCCCCATCTCTGATCTCCTCACAAACTTTCCCATCCATCTCTTCATGCCCTAACAATCACACAAGCACATTCACACTCACACACCCATATCTGTATGATGACTCCAGAGGACTGGTATTCCAAGGCCACAGCCTGAGATAAGCTATTCATTTTTAAAGGCCTAGGAGTGAGAGAGGGTGAGTCACAGAATTTAAGCATCAGAAGGGACCCAGAGTATACTTAGTGGAACCCACCCCTGAAGAGGAGTCTTCACTACCCCCTCAATGAGAAGTAGTCCTCCAGACCTCCAAGGATGGCATGCTCAATACCTCCCTAGGCAGCCTCCACTCTAGAGCAGCTCTCACTGATAGGACCCTTGTTCTGCCCTGGGCACCTCATTGCTCCTGGTTCTGTCCTTTGGGTTCAAGGAGAACATGACTGGTTCTTGTCTACATGACATTCTTCCAAGTCCTGCATGAAGTCTTTTCTTCTCTGGGCTAAATATGCCTGCTTCTATCAACCTATCAAACAGCTAGGAAGTATTTAATAGCCAACTCTCTACAGGGTTCTTCTAGTCACTAGAGATAAGATAAAAACAGAAAGCCAAACAAAACAGAAACAACCAAAGCAATCCCTGCCCTCAAGAGGCTTCCATTCTATCCTGAGAAACATCCATATGCATACATATCAAATATACACAGCTAGTGGCCCAAGGACAAAGTGCTGGATCTGGCTTCAAGAAAATCTGAGTGCAAATCCTGCCTTAAACATGTACTGGCTGTGTGACCCTTGGCAAGTCACTTAACACCAGTTTCCTCACCAAGAAAAAGAAAAAAAAGATTTTTCGTGAGGGGCAACCTACTATCTTGGGAGGAAGCTTAATCTATTTTTTGTAGCTCTGACAGTTAGGAAGCTTTTCTTGATGTGATACCTGTATTTATTGCTATAGAGTCATTTCAGACTCTTCATGACCCCATTTTGGGGCTTTCTTGGCAGACATGCTAGAGTGGTTTGCCATTTCCTTCTCCAGCTTATTTTACAGATGAGGAAACTGAGGCAAACAGGGTTAAGTGACTTGCCCAGGGTTACACAGCCAGTTTCTGAGGCCAGATTTGAACTCAACTCTTCCTGACTCCAGGACTAATGCTCTATCCACTGTGCCACCCAGGTGCCCCAAGCCTACATTTGCCTCTGCAACTTCTACCATTGGCTCTCCTGCCCTAAACAGAAAAAGTCAAATCCCTTTTCCATATGACAGCCCTTCAAATACTTGGAGACAGCTCTCACATTGCCCTCACCTGCAGTCACCTCTTCTCTTGGCCAGACCAATCCAGCTCCTTCACCACATCTTGATGTGACAAACACCAAAGGAAAGAACAGAACAGAACCAATCTCCATTCCCTCCCATGGTTTTATTACCACCTCAATGCCGATGACACTCAGAGTACAAACTTTAGCCCTGACCTCACCCATGAGCTTCCAGCCAATTGCCTCCACCATCCAGAACCAAGACATGACCTTTTTCCTTTACCCCGTCCTTCTTTCTGACCTTAGTAGCACCATTCAGCCATCCTCCTCTGATAAGGACCTTAGGGTTAGCTTTGCTCCTTCCCTCTTTCCCCTGCTAGGATCCAGTCAGTGACCAGGTCTTGTGGAGTCCATATCCCTGGTACCTTTCCTATCCCCTCCTCTCTTTCTAGGGCCTCTACTGTGGTTCCAGCTCTCACCACCACCTGTTTAGTGCATCAGAACAGCCTCCTCACAGGTGTTCCTAGGTCCACTCTTTCTCTCTACCCACGCATCCTTCAAACCTTAGTGAGGAGCACCTTGCTTATGCACAGATCTGTCTCCATCAGTCCCCTGCTCAGAAAACTTTTAATGGCTCCTTATTACTAATAAATAAAATGTAAAGCATCCTCTGTGTCCCAGCAGAATGATAGCTTCTTCCACCCAACATACTGTCATGTGCTTGAGGACACTTCTAGGCCAAGCAGCACCCCCAGTCCCTCCTTCCTTCATATCTCACTCCCCTCCTAGCCCTGATCTAAACTTTCTGGACCTCAAAATCTTCTCTTCTTGCTGTCTGCTCTAGAAACTTTCCTCAGCCCCTGAGGCCTCCTCAGTCTAGAACATCCTTCCAACCTCCAGGCCTTCTCACCATGGAATTTTCCTCTGCAAGGGTGGTTACCCTGATGTCAAGTGGCCAGTTCCAGCTGGAGTCTCCTTTTGGTGGAGATTCTTAGACAGGCTCCCTTTTATTCCTCTCCTGACCCTACTCAGGACTTTCTGGATTTCAGAATGATGAAACCCCCACACCCCATTGCCCAAGCCTAGGGCAAAGATTGTTTGTTTTGCTTTTACCCATGTCCCCAGTGCTTATCACAGATCCTAGTAAGACTTCAATCTTTGCTTAATGATCTCTCCTGTCCTTCCCTCATATGGCAAGGTTTTTCAGTGCCAAAGGCAAAAGTGAATGTCAGCTTGCATTGCTATCTCCCAGGAGGCTCCTGGGGCCCCACTTGGTAAGGGGGCACTCAGACTTTGGCAGGTTTGGTTTTATTATTCTATGAGGCCTCCCATTATGTAATTACTGAACCCACAGGTGTAGTGGGTGAATGGGAGTGAAGGGCTTAGTCTCTATTCTGTGGTTTTATATACAGTAGACCTAAAACTGAGAGAGCTGGCTGCCCAATGACTTTGAGGGAATCAGGGGCAAAAGGGGCACTCCCACCACCCCAGGGCTCTCAGCTCCAAGTGTGACACTCTGTTCATTCCATCCTGATGCCTGACCCTCTTTCTTGTTCCTGGTAACTTGAAAGAGTCTGGCCTCTTTCAGACGTGGAACCTATTTATCTTTGTAGCCCCATATAAAGCAGAGAATGGGGAAGGCTGTCTGCCAGCCTCAGAGGATATGTTGATGGTGACTCTGCATCCCCTACAGAGTTGGAGAAGAAAACTGAGAATGGCAGAATCAAAGGCAAATGAGTGTCTGGGGGCGGGGTGTGTGAGATAGACCAGGAGATCTCTATGGATGGGAAGGCAGGCTCTAAAGATGGGGAGAAGGGGATGCCTGGGCCCCTACTTGGCTCTCATGTGAGGCAGGATGATCCAGATCATCTGTGGAGGAAGAAGCAAAAGCTAAATCTACCCAATGATCCACCCTCGGCCCATTCCTGGAACTCTGCCCATAT